CACGCCCATCCCGGACCCACCCAGGCTACCAGGTCAGTAACCCACGTCCGTCAGCACAGACCCTCCCCTAGCCCTGCTGCACGCAGCCACGAGGAAACCGTCACCTAAAAGCCAACAGAGCCCTTAATAGCCCATGACCGCAACCCCGGGTTGAGCCCTCCAAGGAAGATGCCCCCAAGCCTGTCCGTACCCCCACACCAATCACAACAGCAACCTTCTAATTATCTCCATTAACAGGAACTGGACTTGTGGTAAGGAAATGTCACATTCACATGGTTTTTTCTGAGCACTTTATGGACCTTAAACATCCGAGAGTAAAGATGAGATGTGTTTTGATGGACCTTGAACGTCTGTTAAAGTAATCAAAAGCCACCTCAAGCTCCTGAACAGCTGTAATGACAGCAGTAATGTCTCAAGTCTGGTGTGACATAAGAAAAAGAAAATATTAAACTTTTCTGTAGAGGAAAACTCATTTCAGAGTGACTTCAATCTTACACTCAGATCTGAAGAAGCACTTATGTTCTGGGACTAACCTTAACCCGTGTCTGGGAACTCAGGCACCTTAGATGAGGCCTAACCTGACGGTAACACCTGCAGTTAGCTCAGTCCAAACATTACCACAGATTCTCTGAGAGTAAAGTGTTCAGATCAACAGAGAAGACAGTAAACTCACAATCTGGTTGGAATAAATTTATTTGATCTGTCTGTAAACAAGGTGATAAATCAATTTATGGCATTTCTTGGTTTTATGCATATGAAATCAAATGCATTAAAGAGACTGTATCCCAGATGTAAGAAGAAAAAGAAAAAAAAAAAGTGGTGAGGAAAGAAAATGAATAGACCGGCAAACAGGACTTGAATTTTTTTTTCCTTTTTTTTTTTTTTTTTTTTTAATGAGTACACATATCCCACAAGGCCTAAACAGTGGAGCTGAAGCTAGAAAAATAAAGAAAAAAAGTGCCAATGAAATGACCCCTTCATGGACAGTGGGTAACAATCCGTTTTACAACAGCAACAGATCTCTCTACGTTATGGCACAGGATACACAGGTTCTGCAGTTAAAGTTTCGACAAAACAGCCATGAGCGTCTTTGTTCCAACTAATCCCATCTCCCATTAAGAGTCATTTCTACTGTTATTTTGTATTCCCCCCACTTGGACGTTGTTAGCAGTGCTGAGCGTGGACAGGCTGATTCCCCAGAGCTCAACTGACTAGAGAAAAGGCAATTTATTCCACAGTATTATAGTTGTCAACACAGCATGGGGCTGCTGAAATGCAGTTGTGTGCTTCTTCTAAGAGAAACACAAAACAAAACCTAATGATCATTTTCTTCATAAACTCCCACCCTTACCTCCACTGATACTTCACCTTTTTTTTTTTTTTAAACTTTAGTATTACTGTCTGGTTAGTGTTTCCTTCATCAGAAAGAATAAAAAGCAGCCATCCTTCACATGATTTAGAGCGAGTGTACAAATACCCGACCTTCAACTATACTTGGTCCTATATAAAGAAAAAGAAATTCAAACTGGACACACTCCAGAAGGTTATATGCTGGGATGTCTACTGTCCAAAAGAAAAGAAAGAAAAAAGGCAGCCTTTAAAAAGAAAACAAAAAGAAATTAAAGAATATACATTACAGGAGCTGGCAAACAAAAGTATTAAGTGCCTGAGCCGTTGTTACTGTGGAATGTCCGTGGGTTTTCATTTTTCGTGTAATAGGGGAGGGCTGCTATGCCAGGAGGAGAGTCCCACACCACCACCACATTTGGAAGGACAGAGGTGATCACAAAAGTCCTCAGTTGGATCCCTTATTACAATCTACTGTGGGCTCGAGATGATCTACAGGGGAGAGGAGAGGGGCTGATCTTGCCAAGATCAAATAGTGATGCCCCAGAGCATCCTCGCATTTGTTTTGTTTTAAAAAAAACACAGACTAAGGGGTGATATCTGACAGGATGGGAGCCGGAGTGGCGAGTAGTGTTTGAAGACTGCCCAGTGAGGTTTAGTGTTTGCTTGATTTGAAAAGGAAGGGGAGGAGCAGGGAGGGAGGAAGTGAAAATTTGGCAAGAGGGACTTTCGAAGATTGGGGTGGATGGGTAGTGGTGGATCAGAGAGGGGAGCGACGGTGGTCCGAGATGCGCGCAGTCTCCCCACCAGGACGTGGAGGGGTGGGTGGGGGCAACGACAGAGGAAGACGTGACGAGCTTTAGTGCTCCAAAGGCATCGGCTGCTCGGGGAGGGAGTGTGTGTGATTAAGTGATGGGCACTAATGTGGACGAAAAATAATAA